AATAAGACATGAATAAGGATTCACTACTAGTGTTGCTTTCTGCTAAAGAAAACCAACAAACCATAAAGCTTATCATATTTTTTGGAGTCGAAAAATTATTCCCACTAGACGGATAATCTTACGAGTACATTGTGTACTCAGAGTTTATTTACCCCTGTTGCAGGTGATGCTTGAAGAGTACCTTTGTGTATAGGATCCATCTGGTGGGCTCAGACAGAATCCTCGCCCTTTTACCGCTAGATGTTATTTTTAAATTCCGCTGTTTATCATTCCGCACTCTGGTATTTGGTATTGTAATAATGTACTTTTTAAGAATCTCTGATGTATGAAATAGACTTATATTGTAACTCGTTCTCATTATTGGATCCTTGGGAAAAATGTAGATCTTTCGGGTTCTCCCTTGGGGTGTGCTCGACGGACACCGCCCGCTGTAGCTTGCTTTCGGGGTGCTTAGTGTCTGGTGGAAGACGAGCACCTCCGTAAGTGTGTTATTTCAGGCGGTTCTACCACAGACCTCTCCTTCTCTAACAGTGGCGGACCTAGTGGGTAGCCTGGATAGGCCCAGGACTACCCACAAATTTGGCCCAAAATTCTATTACTACTCTTGAGAAACTGGCCCAAATGCTCTCCTTCGTCTCAGCCCAGGCCAAAGACACCGCAAATCCACGAGCTCTTCAAAATAATAACGCGCCTGAGAGGGATCGAACCGGGGGACCTCCTGCCTCGGGCTGCAGCGCACTTACCAGTCCAGCTACGAAAGTTTGTTGGATAGGCAATACCCGCAACCCTATTTAATAAAGGAAAACAGGGAAAATACCCCTTAATTAATCACTCCTTGTATGCTAAATCATGTCCTAAACGACTTTCTTTACCAGTATGGAGGGAGTATTTATGTAAGTTTCCAACCTTTTAAATGTATTATCATAATTTGGTTAATTTATAGCTAAGTTTGCCGAACTTTTGTTTGGATTTTATAGTATTGCACATAAATTTTTTTTACTAGGACTACCCTGGTGTCAGATCCTGGGTCCACCACTGTTCTCTAACGTCCTCCATCTCTCCAATCCCCATTTGTCAAGCCCAACATCGATCGGGTCATGAATACTGCGCTGTCTAGCAAACTCACGCATCTTGTTTTTATGATGTTTAACGAATAGGTTGATATAGTCAGGTCCATATCCCCTTTCCTTGCAATTACTTGCTTTCCCTTCAGTTCATCCAAGAACTTAGCTTGATCCTCATAACATTCCCACCTGCATTTCCTAGTGCTCTGTTCAAACGAAAAATTATATCATATATGTCTTGGCAAAAGAAACAAAATACGATTTCATGTTTACCACAAAAATAATTAACTTCATCATAGTCAATCATATGGCCGCAATAATGGCCTATTCCAAGCTTCGAAGGGACTAGACCGTAGTTGGATTTAACACCACATTCGTACTTGATTGGAGATGCTTTGTAAATTAACCTTTCTTTATTCTTTTTCTTTGCCTTTGGTGGCTCCGGCCATTGATTCTTAGGACCATAGAACCACTCATTGAAACGACATTTCGCAAATCCATAACGCTACAAGAGAATACATTAGTACACGCACACCTATAGAGATAAACATTTAAACAGATACACTTTCCACTTACTTCGTGTTTGTTCGAACACATAAACTTCAACGTATTCTCTGGGTTTATCACAGCTCGATCTTCGCATTCGTACAGAGCAGGTTACTCGAGTCGTCTAACTGCGGCTAGGTGCTTCTCCTTAGCCGTCATTGGCGGGGGTTAGGGGGGTGGAACTCATCGCTTGAAGTGCTCACGTGGATGTCTCACTCTACACCAATCGTCGAAAAGGAGGTACCTAGGGTCAAACTTGTCTGCACCGTCGATCCACTGAAAGAAAAAGCACCTCTTATGGTCCTACACAATAAAATTCAAACAAAATATTAGTAACCTACTTACACAAATGAAGAAAAAAAGATAGTGGAAATAATTATTTACATTAAAACGACTGCATGTGTAAAAGCAACGCGCCGCTGTGTCTGGATGTCTCGATTGAAACACGTCGGCCGGAAAACCACAATCACAGTTAGGGACAGGGAGGTCAGGAGAGACGGGGGCATCTTTGCTAGACGCGTCGGGGTATAATTCTCGAGGACGACCCCGTTTTCGCCAAAACTCCTCCCGATACATTTCTTATATCTAACAAAACGGTTATAATTTAAAAAACAAAAATGAAAACATCATAAATTAATATCAATGAGAACCATAACTACAATACAACCAATTTTGTTCTAAGAATCGAAAGCAATTAACATTAAACCCTAAACCTAGGGTTGTATAATACAAATATTAAAAATTGCATGAAACACTAAGTAATGACGATTCTTAGGTTGAAAAATCCGACTAATATATACCGAATCGATGCGAAAAAAAACTAGGAGGAGAGCGATGATACCTTGCTCTCGAAGATCTATGGATTAAATCAAAGTTTTTAAGGTCCAATATATCGATTCGTGAGGTAGGGCGAAGTGGGGAGAGAAAAAACCCGAGAGGGAGAAGAAAGAAGAGGAAGAAGGCTCGGGCAGGAAGGTTAGGCCGGGGTTAAAACACCACCTCGGCGCCAAGCTTGATGTCAGAATCTATGGCGCCGAGTTGCCTGCCAGGTCACCGTCATGTCTGCGTCGTCCCCAAGACCTCGGCATCAGCAACGATGACACCGAATTAAGGGTTCAGATTTTAAAATTTTACCTCCGGAGATATATTTATAAAAAAATTTCAAAAAAATAGCTTAAAAAAATAAAAAAAAATTCGACCCGGGAGGCCGCGGGACAGGAGAGGAGACGAACGAACGAGAGTGGCCGGAGAGAGTAGAGTAGGCCACACCGGCCAGCAGCATGCCATGCGATGCGACTTGGCGCGTCGTCAAAGGCTGCAGGTCATGTTTTGTGCCCGGCGGCCTGCGGGCTCGCTGGTCTGGTCTGGTCCCCCTGCATGCACGCGGGTCCCATGCCATCAGTCTCTGGGCAGGAAGAAGAGACCATGCATGTTGATGCTCGGTCGTGGTCGCTGGTCCGGGGTGCATGCCCATGACAACAACGCATCAGCTCCAGTCGGCCCGGCCGGCCGTCTTCCATCGCCTCGCCTGCATGAGTCAGTCAAGGAAGGACAGACACGGCTACTCCATCCGTAGGATCGATCGGTGTCTAGATAGGTGCCTGTTTGCCGCCGCCTCGGTTGCAGCACCTTCAGCTCAGGCCCAGTTTAGTTGCCGAAAATTTTGGTAGAATGAGACCATAGTATTTTCGTTGTTATTTAATAATTAGTGTCCAATTATAATTTAATTAGGCTTAAAAGATTCGTCTAGTGGATTTCGTCTAAACTGTGTAGTTAGTTTTATTTTTTATTTATATTTAATGCTTCATGCATGTGTCTAAAGATTCGATGTGACAGAAAATCTTGAAAAATTTAGCGTTTTGGAGGGGAACTAAACAGACTCTCATTATCCATGCTCGTCTCGTCTCGTTTCGTCTCCTTGCAGCTAGCGCTCGTCCCTCGTCCGGGCGGGCAGCCGTAGCTTGTAGCAATTCACATTGCATGTATACCTACTCCTATATGCGACGAAGGACCCAGCCAAGGACGCCTATCATGTGTTCATGACATAATAATGTGCTGTGAAGTGGCAACAATACCTTTAATTGGTTTTATTGCCCATTGTAACTGTGTACTCCAACAAACCCCTCTGTCCCTTAATATCTGTTGCCGTAAAAAGTGTGCTGGTTAAACTTCATTAAATTTGACTAAACTTATATAAAGTATTAGCAATAGTTATTTTTTTAAATAAATTTATTATAAAAATAGATTCAACAATCTATCTATGTATCGTAAATATTAATATTTTTATATATATTTAGTCAAATTTGTGTCCGTTTGACTTATCGGGAAGCGAGAAAGACAGATAAAAAGGGATCGAGTGAGTATCACACCCCAATGAATCCAGCTCTTCTCTTGTTATCTCATGTCATGTCACTGTTTTTACCTAGTGCGTAATCGATGTGTCACGCATGTTATACAGATTGAAAAACTCCCATCAAATTAACTTGCCGTGAGCGAATGATCGGCCTCATATTCCTGTATGTCGTCCTCCGGTGAATGTGAATCGACCTATCCGGCCAGCATGGCAAGGTACAAATCACACACGTGATGACGAGGTACTACGATCAAAGGTGGAGGTTGTGGTTTTGTGGACCTATGGCACGGCAATTGGCTAGTGGCAACAATCGAGTACTATGGTAAGTTGTATCTGTTCACTTGACTTATAAGCCGTATTTTTTCAGTGAACGAATAATATTTTTTTCTCATGATAAATCACTCAACAGTAATTTTAGCCATGGCTTACCAACGAGCCACTTATCATCGTCAATCACTCCTGAGTGCGTGCTACTAGTACTAGCTAGCTGCAACTCCAAGAAGAAAAATTCACCTAGTGCATGCATATGGAGACACGACATGGAAGGACAAGCCTAGAGCAGATAGGAGTACGTGAGTTGTTTGATCGGACGGCGCACAATGGACGACGGATAAAACCATGCATGCATAGGGCATAGGCACAACACCAGCAGGTGGTCGCGTGACCAGCCGTAGTAGCTAGGATTCCTTGGCTGGAACTTCAAAGAAAGCAACCGCTCGTAGTCGTAGCAGAGCTCGCCGGCCCGGTGGTGGTGGCGCCCGCGGCCTGGAATCCACTGTGCAGACTGCGCCCTGCGTACTGAACTCGTCAGCCTTCTGTCACCATCCGTACCCATCAGTCTTTTTCAATCTCTTGCGTTTGCAGCGACTACTACTAGCATGCACGCGCGTATATATACCACCCATGGGCCGGCGTCACGGCTCAAACAGCAGCAAGAAGCATATACGTACACAGAGACATCGTCACCATCAGGTCCTCGCCAGAGAGCATCAACTTCTGCAATCTCAAGCTAGGAGCATCCAATGGCAGGCCAAATAATGGAAGCTCAGGTGGCGCGGCTGCAGCCTCCCACCATGTCGCCGTTCGCGCCGCTGCCGCACAACACCTGCAAGCACGGCGTCCACCACCACCTCACCACGACGAAGACGACGACAGGGATGGCCGCCACTTCCGGCAGCACCAACAATGTCTCCACGGGTGCGGCGGCCGACATGGCCGCCTACCTCCAGCAGCTGCAGGACGCCGCGGCCGCCGCCGAGGCGGCCAATAAGAGCAACAGCACCGGCAACGACGCGACCGGCGGCGCGGCGCGCGGGGAGCAGTGCCCGCGGTGCGCGTCGCACGACACCAAGTTCTGCTACTACAACAACTACAACACGTCGCAGCCGCGGCACTTCTGCCGCGCCTGCCGCCGCTACTGGACGCTGGGCGGCTCCCTCCGCAACGTCCCCATCGGCGGGTCCACGCGCAAGCGCCCGCGCCTGGCGCACCACCACCAGCACCAGCAAGCCAGGCGCGCTCCGGCGGCGGCGCACGTCTTCGGCGGCCTCGGCCTCGGCGCTGGCGCGGCTCCGCCGATGATGATGCCTCCCCTGCAGCCGTCGTCGTCGTCGTCGCAGGGACAGGGCGGCAGCCTACTCGGCTCGCTGTTCGCGCTCGGCGCCGCGGGGCCGCTGCTGGAAGGCCGCGGCGCAGGCTCGTCGTCGTTCGACTTCGACCTCGGGCTCAGGCTCCCGACAACCGGGCCCTTACACCTGGGCGCGGGCGCCGGCGAGGCGGTGGCCGTGCAAATGCAAGGCCTCGGGCTCAGGGGAGGTGGTGGCTCCGCAGCCGGGTCGTCGTCGTCCTTCCTCTGGCCCGCGGGGCTGCTGCTGGACAACGACAGCGTGGACACGTGGAAGATGCCACCAGGCGCCGGTACGGGTTCAATGTGGCCGGACTTCTCCGCTGCTACGGCGGCGCCACAAACCGGCGGGATGTTGCATGGCGGGGGCCACCTGATGTGAGACGGCGTGCTTCCTTCGTGGCGTCCTACAGTATAAAGCGCTAGCTCTATGGATGCAGCCCGGGCCGCCTTGCACTGCATTGGCACACAGCATACGTAGGTCTTTTTTTCCCAGAGCATTGCATTATTGGATTGTGTCGTGTCTTGTGTACGCACGCCGTGCTAGAGGTTCTTGCCTGTGCTAAGCTACAAAGGGTCCTCCAAGTTTGCAGTTTTGGTCTCCCTTATATAGGGTACTTTGTTGTACGTAGAATGGTCTAGCTTCAGGTTCGTGGCTGTACGTACTATCTCGTTGGGCTGCCGAGTTCTGCTCGTGTCTCGTGTGCATGTGAATCTTAAGCTTATACAGTTGTATCTTACATGTAATTTAAAAGCGAATTCGCTAGCGTAGAACTGGAAAACCAGAAGCGGCTTTGCGTAGAGTGTGCCAGATTGTGTAGACCGTCGGATGAGAAAATTGTAGCCCAGTTCTTAAGTTTTTGTATGATGAGAAAATTAGCCCAGTACATGCACCATGTGCAAAGCCAAGTTCCAGATACAGCCCAACATATTGCCGATGTTGAGTAGCCCAGTGAGAAAATCAACCCAACACGAGCGCACTGAAGCTCCAAAAAGACGGGCCCATTGGCACGGCCCATCAAAACTTCTGTACTCGCCGGCCAACCACGCTGCGCCGCCCGTCTCCAGCTCGCAAAATCATTCCCGGCGCGTCTCAAACTCTCAACCGACAGTCCGACTTCTCTAAAACAACTTATAGGAGCCAAAGATATGAAAAAATTTAGCCAGGCTCCTAACAGCTCCGGCTCCATCTAACATTTACTGTAGCAGCACTGCTCATCGCGCTGTGTATAGAAGCTGTTTTTCTCTCTCATCCTCTTCTGTCTCACTGACGCTTCCTGGCTCCGGCTCCTCTGCATGCTACAGTGCTCCTACAGTTTAAGAGCCGGAGCAGGCAAGAGCCCGGCCAAACGGCCTCTTAGCTTTATCGGCCTCTGCTCCCCAAGAATAGCTAGTCAAACCAAAAAAAAAAAAACTTCACTGTCTCGTAGGAGCTGTTTTGGAGGAGAAGAAGCCGGAGCCGACAGGACCGGCTCAGACATTTTAGAGGCCCTAGGCAAGATCGAAATAGAGGCCCCCCGCCATCATATATATTTGCCGTCTCAATTATAAAGCTAATATATATTAACACAAAAATTTAGTGTAGACTTTAGAAGTGATTTGGTCTGTCGTTTTTAAAGTATAGTAGCATGTGGTTTTGACTCGGCGTAGTCTCCAACATTGCCATTAAATTTCACTCGTACAACGTTACGTTTATAAAACGAATTCATGGTTTTGATAGTACCCATTTTAATCATAAATTCTAAATATTGTGAGACAATTTGTTAGCAAATATAAAGATGCTAGAATCTTAAGATACATACACCTTTCTAAGAAAGGAAGGATGGAAGGAAGGAGAAAGAAAGAAGAGGGAAATTTACAAACTATACAATTCCCTATTTGCGAAGCGGAGCGACGCCCGGCGCAATGACGCGTCTGGACGCTCGCACAACCTGTCCTCGTGCGCTGATTTTATTCCCGCCCCGCATGCACACTCATCCTGTCGCAGCGCCCACGCGTCCACACGACTCACCTCACACACGTAGCCCACTCTGTCCACCTTGATTCGAGGTCGTTCGCCCCGTCCCGCACACGCACCGCGCCCCCATCGCACCCCGACTGGTGGCCCCAAGAGTGCCCCGTCCGCAGGACACTAGCGCGCCATGGCCCGTCCGTCGACCCCCAGCTCACCACGCCCCATCATTACCCAGGCCAATGCCGTGCCAACATCACTCCCCGCGCCCCTCGACTCTCCGAACAAATAAAACACAAGCAACATGAAACACTTGAATGCAACATCCGTATAAAACGAATGAAACATCTAGAACATACACTTACAAGATATGTGTGAAACATATACAATATTAGATAAAAACACTTGCGACTTGCAACATTAAAACACTTACTGCAACATAAAACTAAAACAGCTGAAACATTTGGAACATATTGTTGCAACATATGTGTGAAATATATGCAACATCCAGATGGACCATTTTGAACAACACCTCTGAAAACACTTGCAACATGCCTCTGAAATACTTACAACATGTGCAACGTCCCTGATCTACTTCTGCAACATCCATATGAAACAATTACAACATCCCTCTGAAACGTCGGAAATACTTGAAACATAGGCTTGCAACATGCACTTTGATCGCAACATCTCCTTGCTGAGGTTGTGCGTCATGACGGCCACGACGTCGACAACGGTCACGACCTTCTGGTGGGGAATGGCGGTGGTGGCACCTCAGCAGCACCCCAGCAGCATCCTGGCACACGTGGGGGACGGGACATGGCGCGCAGCAGCGGGGGCACGGCGCGTAGCGAGCTGGAGTGGGCGCGGCGAGGGATGGAGCATGGCACGGCGACGGAGGGACGCAGCGTGGGATGGGAGCGCAGCGCTGGATGGTGGGGCCACGCGCCGTGAGATAGGGTGCACGCCGGGGAATACAGCAGCAGCCGAGCAGCGAGCGCACGAGCAGCCGCACGCGATGGGCGAACACGGGAGTGGGAGATATTTTGAGAGATAGATTGGGAGAAGCAAGGAAGCAGGCCTGTTAGGCTGTGCAGGCCCAGAAAGCGACGTCCGGATGGACGGACAGCCGCTCCTAAACATTATCGTTTGCGAAGATAACACCTCAAAATATTTCATAGAAGTTACAGGAAACTAGAGTACATCGAACAAATGCTATTAACACAGGAATATACAACGATTAGAATTGCAGTAAACTAGATGAAATTCTATAAACTTGAACCGGAGAATTGCCATTGCTGTATCTTGTGTTACTCTTGAAGAGCAAAAATACTAAGATAAGAACCCAACTAAAACTATAGGAGATTGAAAGTGTTCTTTAATAGTATATTGAAGACTCTCTGGTTACGCCAAAACATAGTGAATGAATACTTGCAGCAGCCGGCAGCGGTTGGTTGAGCTAGTAGCATCTTGGTCCTCTGCTCTCTTTCCAAGTTCTGAGTTGGGCATAATTCATTTGCCGCTCCATATCCTGTCTAGTTAGTATGCACTTGCGGGCTTGGGGGCAGGGGACGCAGGTAGCGAGGTACACTGTACACATGGAGAGGTTACAATGACTTGTTTGTTGCAGCCTTTTATTGAGCACTACTATCATCGTATCCTTGTCACAATCCTTAGATACACAGTTCAGTAGTTCACGGTCTCCGAACCCATAGGCAGGCAAGAAGTACACAGGCCAAAAGAATGAGCAAAGCTATATCACATATAACCACAAAAAAAAGAGGAGAAAAGAAAAGCTACACGAAAACAAGACGCACGATCGAGCTAAGCTATTTCTAGCGCCGTAGCGCGCGAAGTACAAATCTATAGAACCGGATAACATCGGCCCTGTTCGGCTGTCCGGAAAAACGGCTAACACTAATTTATTACGAGAGAAAAACACTGTTATTTCGTTGAGACGGTACGAAAAGAGCCATTATCAGAGACCACACCACCCTTACAGTCTACATCGTACGTACACGTACGGCCCGACACGTACGTCCAAATGCGCCCATTCATCAGTTTGCCACCTTGCAGTTGGTCCGGATGCTGCCGGCGGCGCCCATCTTGACCATGGCGGCGGCGAAGTCGGCCTGGAACGTTTCCGGGCTGCTGTTGGTGTAGCCAACCACCTGTGCCGCCGTGGTCGGGTCGCTCAGCAGCAGCGCCTGGTCGGAGCTGAGCAGGCCGCGGTTGGCGACGATATGATGATGGCGGCGTAGTAGTTGGTGTCGAAGGCCGGCCGTCGGCGTCACGGGGTCTAGTGGCACCATCTGCCCGCCGGCGCCGGCGGCTGCGTCAGCGCCGCCACGTAGCGTTGGGCCTGTGTACGCGTAGAGCCGCCGACTGCTGAAGGAGCTGTACTGCGACACCCATCCCGATCGTGTGCGCTCCCGATAGGGCCGCCATGTTCGACTGGCTGAGCCCCTTGGCGCCGAAGATCTGGTTCAGCTGCTTCACGCTCGCCGTCGGCGGCGGCAGGTTGCCGCTCGTCTCCTGCGCCACCGAGACGTTGCCGTCCCTTCGCCCGCCCGGCACCTGGTACGCGTTGCCTCCAACTCCAACCTACGCACACCATCACACACAGAAACAAATTAAATAAAAAATCTTTTCGCCATTGCTACCAGCATGTCACCACGCCCATACTAGCTAGCTAGAGTGTTAGGGCCTTAGGGGCATGCATCCACGTCATACTAGCTAGAGTGTTACAAGCGTCTGAATAATGAAACCTTACCATTCCCCAAAAAGAAATTCTTAACGAGGACTCGGAGGTTGGTGCCTCGGTATTCCAACATCCCTTCTTGCATTGTAAGTTTTTTCGTTCTCTCTATATCACATCAAATCTTTAAACACGAGTATTAAATATAGATAAAAAAATAAATAATTACACAGTTTGATTGTAAATTACGAGACGAATCTTTTGAGCCTAGTTAGACCATGATTGGACAATAATTGTCAAATACAAACAAAAGTGCTACAGTGTCAAATACTGATTTTTAACCACAATCTAAACAAGGCCTGAATACCATACTGCCATGGACTCTGCACACGCGTGGAGATCGGCACCCAAGCAAAGGCCTTGTTTAGATTGCAAGTTTTTTCACTTTCTCTTTATCACATCAAGTCTTTAGACACATGCATGGAGTATTAAATGTAGATAAAAAAACTAATTACACATTTTGATTATAAATTACGAGACGAATCTTTTGAGCCTAGTTAAGCCATGATTGAACAATAATTGTCAAATACAAACCAAAAATACTACAGTGCCAAATACTAATTTCTAACCCCAATCTAAACGAGACGAAGCTTTGGGGAATGAAGAATGATCGGCGCTGGCCCAAAGACAGTTCTGAACTCTGATCGGTTTCTCCCAAAAGAAAACCCGTCAG